ATCCTGGAGACAGCTCTCTAAAGAGCACATATTGGGTTCCACTGATCCACCCATCGTTCCATGGAAGCACAGTTGTAAAGAAAGGCAAACTATAATGAGAAGGCCACCTGCAGCACACAGAGGCAGGTGACCATGGCAGTTGTTGTCAACCTGGTTGGCCTGACAAAGCCATTTCCACTTTAAGGGAAGCCCTGTTGCAGGGAACAAACACACACTTTTGAGGGTCAGGGTACCATCTGCTCCAGAGAGTGCTTCATTGGCATAAACCATGTGGCCTCTGAAACTTTAACTCTTCCGGTTTTAGTGCCACACAGCTCCTTTCTGTTCCCATAGTCAGGTCAGCCTAGGAGCTCATTGGGTTCTTTAAAGTCAGTTTACACATTCTAGCCTAGTCCTGCAAGATCTGGCTCTGTCTAACCGTGTAACCTCTTGATGCTGCTCTGTCCTCCTTGCCCTGTAACCACCACCTGTACTAGACTTCCTGCAGTTCTTCCTATCTACCTGAGCATGATCTTTTCCACTCTCTCCAGGCCTTTGCCCATGCCATCCACTGCCTGGTAAACCCTTCCTATCCTTGTCAAGTGTCATCCTAAAGGTCCTTTCCTCAGGGAGTCCTTCCCTACACCCACCAACATGAAGTCAGGACTCCCTCCATTATACTCTCTGTATCTATACCTCTACAGTTGTAATACTTGTCACACTTTCTCATAGTCATGGGATTAATATATCTTCTCTTCTAGTCACTGGAGGTCCAGGAAGGCAGAAGCCACTCCTGTTCAATTTTCTGTCCTCACTACCTAGCAGATTACCTGCCATCTTCACAGATACTCAATAAATTCTTGAATGAAAGAACAAATGATATCACACCTAACAATGCTTAGGAGTCAGAGAGAAGAAAATGGTCCTAGAATGCTGTTCTTACAGAATTTAATAATGTTCATAGATAATATTTATAAAATTAGTAGATACAGATTTTCAATCACACGTATTAAATGAATTATTAAACCTAGTCCCCTAGGTTACAGAGACAGTCTCTCACTTAAGGGTCAATTTCTGAAACCCAAACAGAGCTGCCCTTCAGGCCTACTACAGAATTATTGATAAGCAATATTACGAGCTATGACAGTGTCCTTCTGGTCCTTTTTTTTTAGATTGTGTTTTCCTCTGTCACCCAGGCTGCAGTGCAGTGGCAGCAGCCTCCACCTCCCAGGTTCAAGGGATTCTCCTGCCTCAGCCTCCTGAGTAGCTGGGACTATAGGCACCCACCACCATGCCAACTTTTGTATTTTTAGTAGAGGTGGGGTTTCACCATGTTAGCCAGGCTGGTCTTGAACTCCTGACCTCAAATGATCCACCCACCTGGGATTACAGGTGTGAGCCACTGCGTGCGGCCAACAGAACCTATCTTAACAAGTGGCTGTAGGCTGGGCACGGTGGCTCACGCTTGTAATCCCAGAACTCTGGGAGGCCGAGGCGGGCAGATCACGAGGTCAGATCGAGACCATCCTGCTAAGTAAGTGTAAGGTAAACTCTTAGCTTACTGCTAAGTAAGTTTAAGGTAAACAGTTAAGTGCTCAGTAATTAACAATTATTGTTATTAACCCCAACAAAAGCAAATGTTTAAAGATGTCTGAGCAGGAGAAATGATCAAAGAGGTTCTTGAAGATTAATCTCACCAATTACTTCTCCTCCAGAGTTAAAATATCAAATCTATCACCTCCTCCCCCTTCCTCACTCTGTAACATCCTTCCCAGTGAACATCATCCCCAGGAGGAGCCCAAAACCAGCAACTAAGGTTCTCTCATGTTAGTGAAAGGATTCCAGCTGGTGAGCCCCACCACTGTGGGGACAAACTCAATTGAGTTGAGCTATGGCTTCTGGGATGGAGGCTCACAGCCACCTAATCCCACCCTCAATGTACTCAGCCACCACGACCCAGGATTTACATCCAGCGTGCACTCAGAAGAGAATAAAACCAGTGATATTTCTTTTCAATTCTAAAGCATAGATATTTCCCCCTAAAACACAGGGAAGGGTCCAGGTTTTCAGAATGACCCTGTTTCTCAAGTCCCTTAACTGCTAACCTAGGAGCTTATCCTCTGGAGAGTTTCTGAAGAAAGGCTTCTCTTTGCCTCAGTTTCCTTATCTGTAAAATGGGTGATAATAATGGTACTACTTCCTGAGGTCCTGGTGAGAATTAGATGAGTCAATATGTATAAAGGGCCTAGAACACTACCTGGCACACAGTAAGTGCTCCGTAGGTGTTAGCTTAACTTCATTATGAACTTTAGTTCTTCCATCTTATTTGTACTGCTTTCTATTTGTGATCATATATTTTTCAATTACTAAGCATTAACAGTGGCCTTGTAAGAGACTATTTCAGCCCTAGTGCACCTTTGGGGCAGCAGTTTGGCTGGTGGCTTATAAATAGTCATCCCCCAGATCAGAGGCACCCATGCTTTTCTATAGACCCTGTGTAAGTTGTATCTGTTAATTTCCTTCATTGAGAAATATATACTGTAGATAAAAGAATCCAGCAAAGCCTTTAATTGGTAACTTTATTAATAACAATAGCATCTACACACATTTGAAAACACACATGTAGGAGACAGTTAAGATTTATTCAGTCTGTGATAATGTCTAGAGCTCATTTGGATTCATCAGACCCCTGCTATCAACTCCAAAAACCCTTAGCCAAAAACAGAGTTGAATCACTCATCAAACCATCAGTGTCTTCCTCGGCAGAATCAAGGGTTGGACAGAAAGAGTAAATATTCTGTACCTCCACAAAATAAAACTAAAATGCAATTGTCCTGCATCTGAGAATACAAGGGTGGACAGTATGAGCTGCATGACTGTGAACCAATGAGGCTTCCCTTGGCCTCATTTGTAAAAAGGAGATTAACCCTGTAGTCCTGCCTATCTTGCATGGCCTCCTGGAAAGCAAATGAGGTGATGACTGTCAATTAAAAGCTCCTCTCCTTTAAGAGGGGAACACCAAGAGGGGAGAGTAAGAAAAGAAGGAAAAGGCTCTTTCCAGTGACCAATACGCTGAATTTGATGAAAATCCAAAAGAGGTTATGCTAAACTGGGAAGCGTAAGGGTGGATCTACCATTGCCACCTCCTCTTTGATGCAAAAAAAATCTTAACACGGCCCCCTCCCAGCTGTTGCACTGAGGTGACTAAGGACACATTTGAGGAAGTAGCTCCAAAAACATTTCCATTTTCACCGTGCCTTCACATACATCTAACGGAAATGAACAGCACCCATCATCCATCCACGAAAGCGATTAAGAAAACGATGGGATGGAAAAACTAACCCAACAATATTACATCAATACGTAGTATTTAGGTAAGTGTCCATAATGTGCCAGGCTGAAGATGCACGGGAAAACCACACCAGCCGGTCAAGGGCTTGAGAATACCATAAACAAGAAAACAGACGAACCAATTTCAGACAGCTGCTAGAAGGAAGATAAAATGAGACAGGCAAGTATGAGCGGCGCGAATTCCTTAGTGGATGACGTAGATCTCTGACAGGTGACTTTTGAGCCCGTATCTACACGGTAAGTGCCTCGCAGTGACCTGGGGCCGCAGCCTTACCCTTTAAAGCAGAGACCATTAAATGCAAAAATTATCAACAAAACGAGAAATAGGAATTTCAAAGTCTCAAAGTGAACGACGGAAACTGAAATCTACAAATTAGAAAGAGGCGCAGAATTTTGAATATTCATGTCGCCCAATCAGGAAAAGGCTGGGACCCGGCTGCGCGGGCTTCGTCCAAAATACACAGAACGGCTGGTATCCACAGGAGACCCCATCGCACAGCAGAACTGGTGACCGGACACAAAAGGTGCTGCCAAGCGTCAGTCATACACAGCTGTCACGCAGTGTTTGCGGAACCTGGGCTGAATCGTGCCCTGGAGTTCTCTTAAATAACAGCCGAACTCAGCCACTTCGTTTTAGAATGAAACAGACCCAAGAAGCCACCAGGGCGCCAGTATGGGGCGGGAGTGGGGGCGGGTAAAGAGGCGGATTCCCAACATCCTAATTGAGAACCGACTCCTGGGAATGCTAAGCAGCACAATGAGTGAAGACACGCTCTAGATTCAAAAGCAAATCCAATCATGCACCGGGGACCTCAAGTTCCAAATGGTTAAAAACCTACGTGTGGCATTTCCCATGACCTTTACGCTAAAATTACTTTATGAGAAGAAACTAAGGGAGTAAGTGAACAAGCTCTTTTCTAGTGATTAGGTGGGTGGCTCTGAAAAGAGCCTTTGGAGTCAAGCAGCCGGCGACTCGAGCGAGCGAGCGCCAGGTCCCGGCAGGGACTCACTTGGAGCTGGTGTACTTGGTGACTGCCTTGGTGCCCTCGGACACGGCGTGCTTGGCCAGCTCGCCGGGCAGCAGCAGGCGCACGGCCGTCTGGATCTCGCGGGACGTGATGGTGGAGCGCTTGTTGTAGTGCGCCAGGCGGGACGCCTCTCCCGCGATGCGCTCGAAAATGTCGTTGACGAAGGAGTTCATGATGCCCATGGCCTTGGACGAGATGCCGGTGTCGGGGTGGACCTGCTTCAGCACCTTGTACACGTAGATGGAGTAGCTCTCCTTGCGGCTGCGCTTGCGCTTCTTGCCGTCTTTCTTCTGGGCTTTGGTGACGGCTTTCTTGGAGCCCTTTTTAGGAGCCGGAGCGGATTTTGCCGGTTCAGGCATGGTAAGACACAGTACAAACGCGGCTTAGCCAAGAAAAGAAGTAAGAGAATGGGCGGGCCTGATTCTTTTATAACCACCTTATGCAAATTAGGGCTCCGAAAGTCATTCATTTCCATTGGTCCGTGTGCGGACCTTGCGTTTTCAGCAATGCGTACGCAACAACACCGACTCTTGACTTGATTGGCCGGTTCTGAAGCCATATTAGGACCAATGAAAAACTCGTTCTAGACCCCACCCCTAGGAAAGCTTATAAAGGCTTTCCTCTTGGTTCTCTTTCAAGCTTATTTTGTAGCGAGGTTCTGAGCATTGTCTGTGTTTAACCTTGGTTTCAGTCATGTCTGGTCGTGGCAAACAAGGAGGCAAGGCTCGCGCCAAGGCCAAGTCGCGCTCGTCCCGCGCTGGCCTCCAGTTCCCGGTAGGGCGAGTGCACCGCTTGCTGCGCAAAGGCAACTACGCGGAGCGGGTGGGGGCTGGCGCGCCAGTCTACATGGCGGCGGTCCTCGAGTACCTGACCGCCGAGATCCTGGAGCTGGCGGGCAACGCAGCTCGGGACAACAAGAAGACGCGCATCATCCCTCGTCACCTCCAGCTGGCCATCCGCAACGACGAGGAACTGAACAAGCTGCTGGGCAAAGTCACCATCGCCCAGGGCGGCGTTTTGCCTAACATCCAGGCCGTTCTGTTACCAAAGAAAACTGAAAGCCACAAAGCCAAAAGCAAATAAATGCAGACAAACAAACCAAAGACCAAAGGCTCTTTTTAGAGCCACCCAAGTTTTCAAAAAAAGAGCTAATGCGCTATTTCGTGATCAGCCCTTCATTTGACACTTTGGTGGCTCTTAAAAGAGCCTTTGGGGTGAATGAGTATGGTGTCAAGCCTCTTAATTACTTGTTCTTGCCAGGCTTGTGACTCTCCGTTTTCTTGGGCAACAGGACAGCCTGGATATTGGGTAAGACGCCGCCCTGGGCAATGGTGACACCCCCGAGTAACTTGTTGAGCTCTTCGTCATTCCTCACGGCTAGTTGCAGATGGCGAGGGATGATGCGCGTCTTCTTGTTGTCCCGAGCCGCGTTGCCTGCTAGCTCCAGAATTTCCGCGGTCAGGTACTCGAGGACCGCCGCCAGGTACACCGGGGCGCCTGCCCCCACCCGTTCCGCGTAGTTGCCCTTGCGCAGCAAGCGGTGCACTCGCCCCACCGGGAACTGGAGGCCAGCGCGGGACGAGCGCGACTTGGCCTTAGCGCGGGCCTTGCCTCCCTGCTTTCCGCGTCCTGACATTACGGCTAAAATTGCAGTTACAGCTTCTTTTACAAGGAGAAGAATGTGGAAAGAATAACCAATTTGATGTAATTTATAAGAGCTACCGGGAGGGGTGAAGGGAAGTCGTTTGATTGGCTAAAAGCGGAGCCGTATCCAACAGCCAATAGAAAAACAGAAAGCCGCCTCTTGGTTTGCATCCTGCCCTGAAAGGAAATGACGGATTTCGTAAGTATCTACCAATCGCTGAGAGCCACATTAAAGCCCCTTATTTGCATGGCAGGATCTTTAAAGAAAGTAGGCTTTCAAACAAAATGTCTTGTACTATGGGGTTTTGCTTTGCTTTGTTTAGTTTACAGCCGGTAAATCCCAACATGGACCCTAAGAAACTGCAGAAGACATCCGTAGACTGAGAGTTACTCTCACGCAAGAGTAGGGGATTCTGAAGCCAATGATCCCCTTGAGCTCTAAACTACTAAGTTCCGCCCTTTCTGTCTCGTCACAGCCAAATTCCCTTTAAAAATACAAGTACTACTAAGGCTGCCTCCTTTCTCGCCCCTCAACTTAAGTCGCCCGCAGCGACTCCGCCCCACCCCCACCCGCCTGCACTCCTTGGAATTCAGTTTGACCGAGGCTAGATCTGTCATCTTCTTGACCTCCAGGAGGCGGCCTTGAAGCTTACTCCCTTGGCTTTCAAAATGTCGCCCTGCGTTTTTCTTCTTAGCTCGCCGACTTTTCTTATCCTGCTTCCCCATGCCATCTCTAAATCTGCGAGTCCAGCTGGATTCTGCTTCTCTATCTCCAATTCTTCACTTATCCCGAAGAGTCTTACCCATTTATATGCTTTCAACTAACATCCAAATTTGTTTCAGAAGCTCAGACCCTTGTGCCTAACTGCTTACTGAATACTTCAACCTACTACTTGTCCCAACGAGCACCTCAAACTCAAACTCAACCTCAGCCTATTCGAACGCGAACTCCTGCAAACAACCTCCCCTCTTTGCCCTCTTCCTGAAATGCGCCAGCATACTTACAGATAACTAAGCCGAAATCTACTCTACTCTTCCCTTCGTCTCAGCATGTTCAGTCAGTTGCTTCCTTAATATCCCTTCAATCTTTTTCTCCACGCTCCCTTGTCCACCTCATCATCATCCCTTAGATTTCAGCAACAGCCGGGAAAGGGTAACTTTGCTGTCAGGCATTAATTGCTGGTGTGACTCCAGCGGCCTTAGAAATCTTTCCTGAAAGCTCTTCTTTTTTTCTTTTATCCCATATAACAGATGAACCTGAAAGCTCTTGTGTTTCTTCCTCCTCAACGTCCCATCTCTGGGAGTTCTACATCTCCTACACCATTCTCACCCTTTCCTTAGTATCCCTTAAGGTCAGGTAGAATAATAGAGAGAAAAAATAGACTTGTGGTTTTTTTGGTTTTTTGAGGCGGAGTTTCGCTCTGTCGCCCAGGCTGGAGCACTTCTCAGCTCACTGCCACCTCCACCACCACCTCCTCTACCCCGCCCCCACCCACCCGGGTTCAAGCGATCCTCCCACCTCAGCCTCCCAAGTAGCTGGGATGACAGACGCCCACCACCATGCCCGGCTAATTTTTGTATTTTTAGTAGAGATGGGGTTTCATCTCTACTAATGTTGACCAGGCTAATCTCGAACTCCTGATCTCAAATCTCGAATGTTGGCCAGGCTGGTCTCAAACTCCGACCTTATGATCTGCCCACCTCAACCTCCCAAAGTTCTGGGATTACAGGCGTGAGCCACTGCACCCGGCCAGAAAATACTTAAATCTTATTATTTGACACCTTTTCTGATGTTTCCTCCTTTATTCTCACCAGTTTATTCAACTGGCATTTATTGGATGTGTGCTGTTGGGCAATGGGTGTATAGATAATTGAAAGTAGTACAAACAAGTCTGTGATGAAATGCCTCCAGAAAATGGAGGAAATCTGGTGAACTCTGAGAGTTAAATTAGTTAAAATCAGCTACGTCTAGAGATTACTCCTGGTAAGAATGCTGGTATAGATTTGGGGAACACCAAAGTTCAGACAGAGGTGACCAGGGTGTAACCTAAGATCCTTCTAATCCAATTGATTATATCATTTGAGAAGATGAATGTTAACAGAAAGGTGCAGTCTACATAGAGTCCAAACAGGTGGCAATTGTAGTAGAAATATGTTTTCACCAACAATAAAATATATCTGGCAGAGGCAAAGTTTGGCCTACTAGAAAAGGGTCCTTGGTTATGAAAGCATCAGCCTTTTCTCACAGCCTGGGTGAAATATTTCTGAAGACTATCCAAGTTCCTTCATTCAGATTCTGTGCTCAATTAACAACTTTCTGATTGTTCTATTCCAAGATAAACACATAAGACTGAAGTAGGGGGAGCCAGTTATAGAAAGATGTTCATCATAGAATTCAATGAATTTGCATTTTGGACTATTCATAAATTTCGTGTAGTTTGTTAGCATGGGTCCCTCCCCAAGAAGCCAGTCAGTCCTGGAAGTTCTAATAGTGTCAACTTTTCAGACCTAAAGGGCAGAGAAAAAAACCCAGATGATAGGGGACCCTACCATAATCCTGGCACCCCATAAGGCCCTGCTTGAGGGGCATGCTGACCTTCCTTTCTTTCTCTGACCTCCTCTTTTTTTTTTTTTTTTTCCAGACAGAGTCTCACTCTGTCACCCAGGCTGGAGTGCAGTGGCAGAATCTCAGCTCACTGCAACCTCTGCTTCTTGTGTTTAAGTGATTCTCATGCCTCAGCCGACAAATAGCTGAGATTACAGGCATGCGCCAGCACATCCAGCTAATTTTTGTATTTTCAGTAGAAACAGGGTTTTGCCATGTTGTCCAGGCTGGCCTCGAACTCCCAAAGTGCTGGGATGACAGGTGTGAGCCACTGCGCCTGGACTTGACCTCTGATTTCTTTTTTACTTATATCACAGTGCTCTGTGCCATAAGAAGGGTGAAAGAAAAAAAAAGATTATGTTGAAACCCTACTATGATAAACCCTACAGTAGCAACTGCCTACAAAGTAGATAAAATTATGTGTTTCACAAATAAACTGAAGCTCACAGGGATTAAAACAATTGCTGGGCTGGGTGTGGTGGCTCACGCCTGTAATCCCAGCACTTTGGGAGACCAAGGCAGATGGCTTTTACCCAGGAGTTTGAGACCAGCCTGGGCAACATGGCGAAACCCTATCTCTACAAAAAATACAAAAATTAACTGAGTGTGGTGGGGCACACACCTGTGACCTGTGGTCTCAGCTACTTGGGAGGCTGAGGTTGGAGGATTACTTGAGCCCAGAAGGCACAGGTTGCAGTGAGCCGAAACAGCGCCACTGCACTCCAGCCTGGGCGACACAGCAAGACTCTATCTCAAAAAAAAAAAAAAAAAAAAATTGCTGAAGGTCACACAGCCACATGATTAGAATCTAGGTCTGCCTGACTCAAAGAACATGCTCCTCACGATGTCTAGATGTTGGGCTTAATGAAGTCATTTAATTTATCCAGCCATTGTTTCTTCCTCTGTACAAAAAAAGGAAGAAAGAATTATTAGAGGAGAACTTCCCTACTCCCACACAAATATCCTTGCTGTGCCCACATCTCTTTGTTCATATCCTGGTGACAGCACTCACCATTCGGTACTGTGCTTTTTTTTTTTTTTTTTTTTGAGATGGAGTTTCGCTCTGTCGCCTAGACTGGAGTGCAATGGCACGATCTCCGCCCACTGCAGCCTCTGCCTCCCAGGTTCAAGAGATTCTCCTGCCTCAGTCTCCCAAGTAGCTGGGATTACAGGAATGTGCCACCATACCTGGCTAATTTTTGTATTTTTAGTAGAAGTGGGGTTTCACTGGATTTGCAAACTGCAAGGTCCTAACCAAAGTAAGTCCTATAGATGCCATCTTTGTAGCAGCTTTCTAATCAATTTACTTCTCTCTAGCCCATCTTGTGCCTTCACTCAGGTTATCTTTCACCCAGACTACCAACAAAGACTTTTCTGCTCCTCTCCCTGCTTCTACTCTTCCCACTCCTCACTAGAGTGGCCTTTCTAATAAACATTCTGATTCTTTTCTCACCATCTACTGTCTCCCCAGGTGATCACATACCACACCTCAGCCCCACCCCCATGATCTCATTTTATCTTCAACAACCCCTAAGAGATGTCTCAAACATACTTCTCAGATGCTAAAATTAGTGGGAAAAAAAATAATGGAGAAATAGGAAAGTAGATAGACTTAAAGTATCTTCCACAATTACAGACAGAAAAGGAATTTTATAGTGGAAAAGCCTGACAGATACCATCTTAATCAAATGATCAGAATTATCACTAGTAATAAGAAAAATAAAGATCACGTGCCCTGGTAAGTTTCACAGAGAAGAATTCAACATTACTTCTGCAGTATTCTGGCCAAAAAATGCATGTGCTAAATTTTAATCATAAAGAAACATCAGACAAACCCAGATTGAGGGACATTCTACAAAATAAATGTCTGTAACTTCAAAACT